CGAGCGCCAACAAAAACTAGCAAAACAGGCTTTATGTTTTGAGAGTAGTCTGTTTACATCCTACAAAGACAAGACTTATGTACGACTCTGTTCTGAGCACTAACTCCAAATCCACAGCATTTAAAATAAATCCCTCCAAGCTTGAAACATTCCAGCCTACGGGTAAACAGGAAGGTAAACAGCTTCCAGAAGTCCCTGAAACTGACCAGATACATCGGGCCCCACCCCCTTCTCCACCAGAGTCCATAAAAGCTGAGAGTCCATCTGCTCTTGCTAAGCCAAGCTGCAAAGAAGACCGACATCAGCCCAGCTTCCCTGGAAGGAGCAGTAAACCACCATTGCCTGCGAGAGGTTTAGAGCAACCGAGTCACTTGGAAAGGACACTGTCTAACTTGATCTGCCTGTGGACTGTAGTGTGCTCCAGGGTCCCAGATTTTGTGAGCGGTCACCTGTGCTGGCATGGGCTTTGGTGATGCAGGTGTCTTTGAGTCATTTCTGCTCCTGTGACTCTTGACCCATCTTCCTGTAGGAAGCTCCAATAAAACTCACTGGTTCACCAAGCTGGGCTTTGGTGGCGGTTGTACTTTGGTCTGCCGTGGGCTTCCTATGTAGGATGAGTAGGCGGGCGTGTTGCATCTCCTCAGGATAAATTTTGTTACACAATAGCAAACATTGATCTTAGGCTTGAATGACAGTCTAATTCCCATTGACTTATAGCTGTTTCTACCTAAGATCTTGGATTCCATTTCACCTAGGTTTGGTCTAAAAAGGGATTTTTGTTTTGTTATTCTGAGGACTTCTTATAATAAGGTATGTTCCAAGACTCGTCATCGAAATGTTGCAATATTTGGGTCCATATTTCATCTTACAATTTTCTGTTAATTTACTTACCAGCCACTCACTCCTCTACTGTAAGCCGAATATATAAATGTTTTCTAGTTTGTTTTTAAGAACTTCTTTAATATTCTTTGTTCATTGATGGAACATTTTGTCCTCTTGGAATATTCATTTATGGGCTTTGGTCAGAAGGTGTGTGTGTGTGTGTGCGCGCGCGCTTCCCTTTCACACCCCCTTTATGCAACCCATCTGATCTCCAACTGGGAAAGCTATGCACATCCTGAGTTTCTACTTGCTAGTTTTTGAGGAGTCAGTCAATTTGGTTTATTCCACAACTCCAACAAATCTGTCCAAATAAAATGATCTTCCTTGGTCTCCCAGTTCTCTTATTTCCATTGCACCGGGAAAGTTCTTCACTCATTCCAAAAGCCTTCCCAC